TCTGAAATTGGATGTGCCCTTAGACGTACTTGCACTCACCACAATGCTGCTGAACTTAAACTGAACTGCCCTTACCAAGACTGGCCAGCAGGTAACATCGCGACCGGAAATCCCCTCCGAAAATTTGTGTCAAATCACGTCCAGAAAATTCTAGAAAAACTACCACGAGGAACTCATTTCCGGCAGAACGGCAACAATGCCACTCGATCACAATAGACAGCCTAAGCCTTGACGTCACAAAAGTGGGCGGAGCCTATACTGGGTCCAAACAATTTCGTATTTAATGGTAAATCCGCATAACCATTCTTTCAGTTCTTGTTTTTGTGGATTATTTCATTAAATAAGACTTTCCAGTTGGATAAATTGTTGACGAAACGTGCTATTTGAGTGATTTTTATTTGTTTTTGCCCAGGTGAGTCAATTTAAGATAACAATTTTGCATTAGAGCTTTTTGAGGTTATGCTTTAAACCGTTTTTGTTGTTTATTTTTGTTATTTACTAATAGTTATGAGTTTTCGAGGATAATTGAGTTAATTTTTGGGGCTTTTAGGACCCAGGACTGCCTTAGAATGGGTATGTGCTTCGTGCCGGACTGTAAACATTACAGTTCAAAGCATGAATGTAGGTTTTTTCGTTTCCCAAAAAACAAGACCGAAAGGAATAGATGGATTTCTCTCATAAGGTAAAATAATGATAACATTATTGTTTTTAAAGATTTATGTTTTAAATTTATTTATTTACAGACGAAAAGATAGAAACCCAGGTGAATCTGCAAAAGTGTGTGATTGTCACTTTCTAAATGGAGAAAAGAAGAATGGGCCAACTTTGTTCAATTTTAACATTCACAAGAGGTTTAACATCGAATCACCAGAAAGAAGGTAAGCATTTTGTTGCAGAAGTACCATCATAGTCTATTTTTTTGAATGCTGGTATAATCAATCATACTCGATCAATTTTAATCCCATCCTTTACAAAGTGAACAAATATTTCTATACCTGCCTGTCGATTGGTTTCAGTATCTTTTACATATAAAATAAAACGCACCCTTGTAGTATTGGAGGCATTCACCCTTTAACTACTTTTTGACCACTCCAGAACAATAGAAATTGGGGCTCACAGGTAGCAAGCACAAGAGAATAAAATTATAAGTGAAGGCATGGGGCAATGGTTTGAATAGGCGAAAAGTAATCAAAAAAGGTTTGAATTTAGAAAAATATAATCACAACAATAGGTTAAATTATGTTAATTAGGAATATACAATGAAACTTCTTTGAATCCCAGCATGCCCATTGATGCATGAAGTAAAAATTTGGTACCTGACCACTTTTTTCTATTTATCTCCATACTTGCAGACTTATTAGCATATTTTAACCTACTACATTTTTGTACATTTTAGGCCTTTTTTGATTATTTGGTACTCACCTGGGACACATTTACTGGGTTATAACATATTTTTAGTTGTGATTTGAAACATTTTTGTTTTATTTCAAAATTTGCAATGGATTTCCATCAAGTAGGTATCAGCTTATACAAAGTTTTGGTTCTATAAGCCCTGAGATTATTACTAATTTCATTAATTTGGTTAGTTAAATTGTGAATGCAGAAGATACCAAGAATAATTTAAAAATAATATTTGTATTTATTAATCCTTCAAGACACTTCTTCGTAATGGTTTGCTTAAGGCAGAAATTAATTTAATTAGGTAAATAGGTATTTCAAGAAACATTTTGCTCGTATGCCTATGAACCACCTGCAATAAACGATTAAGTGACAATTTGATTATACCAGCTTTCAAAAATCTTTTTTGTTTTATTTTATAGTCTAATCAAGTACTTTTTTTAGGAAGCGAACCGTGAAAAAGGTTGATAATAGTCTCTCAACTGAACCACTACCAGGCCCTTCAACTGAGCCTTTGCCAGGACCTTCAACTGAGCCTTTACCAGAACCATCAAATGAACCTTTACCAGGACCATCAGATAAGCCACTACCAGGACCTTCAACTGAGCCTCTACCAGGTTGTTCATCCGAGCTGATGCCAGTGTTTTCGAAACAGCAACATCAAGTGACTCAAATAAAACTTGATCCTTCACTGTTGAGTCCGTCATCTGCATTCCAAAATGCTGAGAATTACTTTTTAAGGCAACAGGTGGATCAATTGACTCAAAAACTGGAACAGTTAACGACACGGTTTAGCTATGAAATTATCAAAAAAAATGATGCCCATTTGCTAATGTATACTGGAATTCCAACCAATGAGCTGTACATGGTTCTTTTTGAACTTATGGACACCATTAAATTAAAATACTATGCTGGATGGAATGTTCAGATCATTCCCAAAATTGATCAGCTGCTAATGACCTTGATGAAACTAAGGCTTAATCTTCCACATGAAGATTTAAGTATTAGATTTAGTTGCAGTACAGCTACAGTAACCAACATTGTTATGACATGGATATATGCTCTACATGAAGTCCTATTCAAGAACTTGATGTGCAATATACCATCCAGACAACAGAATCAGGCCTGCCTCCCTATTGGTTTCACAAATTTTCGAAATTGCAGGATAATTTTAGATTGCACCGAAATTTTTTCAGCAATTCCAGCAAACATGGAAAAGCAGAGATTGACGTACAGTTCCTACAAACACCGGAACACTTGGAAATTGTTGGTAGGTGTTGCACCAAATGGTGTTATCACCTTCGTGAGCAAGGCTTTTCCAGGGTCTACATCAGATAAAAAAATTGTTGAGGAGAGTAAAGTTCTGGATCAGATGGTGGCTGGAGATTTAATATTGGCAGATAAAGGTTTCCTTATCAAGGACCTTCTTCCTGCAGGAGTATCATTGAATATCCCTCCATTTTTGACAACACTACAGTTCACGGAATCTCAAGTTTATGAAACACAACAAATTGCGAAGGCTAGGATACATGTAGAACGGGCCATCAGAAGAATAAAATGTTATAACATTCTGCAACAGATTCCATCACATTATATGTCCCAAATTTCAATTATTTTCCAACTCTGTGCAGCCCTCACCAACTTATTGAAGGACGAGTGGGACGATATAATATTATAATTTTTAGTTTTAGTTATGTAGGTATTTTATTAAACATATGTACTTAATTTGAATTTTTCATTGTGGCAAACATAATTATTTCTTTATTTAACATTCGTTTTGTGAAAAATTCTGCTTAAAATTTTTATTTAAAAAATTTATATTTAGATTTTACTTAGTTTATAAATAACTTGCTCTTATAAAATTTTTGTTTTGAGTAATAATGATACTCCTCTCTTGAAATATTTCCAGTTTCTTTAATTTGATAAAAACCTGTACATCCAACCAACATTTTTCATAAAGTAAACAAATACAAGTAAAATTGTATTTCTTGTCAGTATACTTCAGTATGTATTTACAATCGTCGAATAAAGTATGTGAGTCACAAGTTATGTTCTAGTTTTTTTTTTTTAACATATAATCAGGGGTCTTCAAAAAAAATTAATCAAAGATTGCTATGGGTTTTTGAACGTATGTTTTAACAATATTTTTCTTTGTCAGTGAACTTTAATGTCAAAAATCCTGACCAATAAAGAAACAATAATGACAATCAAAGCACTTCTCAGTTGTTTTTTTTTTTGAAGACCCGATATCTACACACAAAAAATTGTCACCCAACTATATCTACAGTACAATACAGCAATTAAAATAGCTAAAATTGTTAAAAAAAATGTTTATCGAGCAAATGTTACCTATATCAAAAAAAAATCTTCAATCATTTCCTGATTTCCTCTAAAACTAAACTTTTTAAGCTCTGGACACATCTATCATGCATTCTTCCGATCCGACTCCGATCATACAATCAGGGTCCTTATTCTTGGAGCAAGAAGCAGCATTCCCAGGAGAACGAGTATTCCGCTGCTCCCCTGTTCCAAGAATAAGGACCTTGATTGTATGATCGGAGTTTTCAGTCTAAAATAAATGATATACATTTTTCAAACAGTGTACTCCATCTGCTTACATTGTGGAATTAAATAAAAGCACATTAAATAAAAATTCACAATTTATTAATTAATTTTCTAACAACTTTGGTATGTATTGTTTTATATAGAAATTTTCCAAGACTGAAAGATTTTCTTTCCATGAATCGTCAAACTCTATAACTGTTACAATTGTTTCTTTCAACGTATAAATACATAAATAACATTTCTCCTTTTTTAAAATATGTAAAGCACCTTGAATTTGGTGATAGTAATTGTGATTAGTATTCAACATTAAATTGCCCTCATCATCATAAAAAATTATATATTTATTTAAATTCTTTAATTTTTCGGACAATTGATCATTTCTGAGAGAATAAGGACATTTTACTTCCACAATGGCCTCTTCTTCATCAATCAATCCATCAGGGCTGGCACCAAGAAGTTCTGAATTTGAGAGCCATACTCCGGTTGGTCGAATATTCAAGTTATAATTAGACTTCAAATGGTCTAGAGCATCTTTTCCATGCGTTCTGCCCTACTGGATTGCTTTGATACCATCCAAATTGTACTCGCCTGGAAAAAATATTGAATTTATTATAATAAAAATGTATGTCAAATTAACCCAAAGTAAGAAAACGCTACATAAAATACTGTTTTTGAAAATATCATCTGCCCTAAATATGTGTACTTAATATCTGACCAAAAAAATCTAAAAATCTTAAATGCTTAAAAATCTCAAGAAACCAAATTTTAACCGGGGCAGGGTTGTTACTCAAATTTACTGGCACCCTTCTGGCAGACTCTGAGAACTTCACAGAAAAAGCACAACCGAAAAGTTGTTACATTGTTGTTCATTACAAAGACAGCCCTTTTTCCTCAACTGTTGGAAACTACTGTGAGTTTAAAGACTACATACTCAAAATTTAAAAAAAGAAAATTCATGTTAGAGGAGCAATAAGCAACTTCAGTGAAGCACGTCATTGCATTCAATAACATGTACGCCAAAATATTTAAAAGATTTATTACTCACCTAAGAGCGTCTTGAACAAACTCACTGGGAATCTGTTTCTTTGGCACGCTGCAATAATAGCACCAAAGTTGCTAGCAGTCAAACGAAATTTTCTCACAAGGAACCATTTTTCATTTGACACCTGACCAGTTGTGGTAGCAGCGATGTCTTTTATCGAATGATCATCGACAGCACATTTCTGTCTGAACACAGACACTTTATCTGTGGCCTCCAAAAAATCCTTGGAAGAAATTATCTCTTCGATTATCGCAAATCTATTTTCCAGCGGATTTATTGACTCCTCATTCAATAGCCAAGTAAAACCAACAGTATTTCCGAAGCTGCGTAGCCTTTCCTTCAATCTGTTGATTGATGCTGTAGTGACCTTTGTGTTTTTACTATTGTATTTTTAACATAATATGTCTGTGGTAAATCATCTAAATCCCACTCGTAGCCATCACTCTCGACAGTATACCATGAATGTTCGTCTAAATCAATTTCAATTTGTGGTCTCTTTGGTGCTGTAACTGGCTGGTATTCTTCTATTCTTTCAATCTCAATGTCTTCGTCCACCCCACCTTCGAGAGCTGTATAGGGCTTTGGTGGATAAAGCTCTTCTGCACATTTCACTGGCCCATCCTTTGGTTTGGGTGGTGCATTCCATGCACATGCTTTATCTGTTACCGATATATGATAATGCCCAAAAAGAGCCAACGCTGCGATGTGATGGCATTTTATGCCTCTAGGACAAATGCAAGTGGCTTCTCTAATATCACCATTCTGTTCCAATACTACAATAAAATTATAAAAAAATTAATTCCATATTATATTAACAAATGCAAATGTTAACATACCTATAGATACCTTGTAGCTTTTGTCTTTCATACTAGCAAATACTTCCCCTCTAATAATCTGCAAATCAGAGTCAAATTCCATTTTTTTCACATGGCTGGATTCCAAGGCATTTTCACCCCTTTTTATAATTTTGTTATCATCTATAAAAGCATTGATGCTTGAAAGTTTCAGAACGTGTTTAAAAGCCATTATTCTCTTAAAAACAAAAGGATCTGAAAACAAAACAAACAAAAAGGTACTGCAAAATAGAATAAACATAACCTCAAAAAGTTTTAAAGCAGAATTATTATGTTAAAATAACTCACCTCAGGAAAAACCAATAAAAATCAACTAGATAGCACGTTCTTCCAACAATTTATCCAACTGGAAAGTCTAATTTCAAGAAATAATCCACAAAAACACGAACTGAAAGATTGGTTATCCGGATTTACCGTTAAATACGAAATTGTTTGGACCCAGTATAGGCTCCGCCCATTTATGTGACGTCAGACTTAGGTAGTCTATTAGACGCTCCGAGTGCTCGCAACCAAAATTTCACAAGAAAAGTGCACGAATGAAACCGCTACACAACTCAGAACAGCTGAACAAATGACGACCGGCACCGCTGTACCGAGATCGCTCTGACGAGGTTGAATGCGCTCCTGACCTGGTTCTGGTTACTGTACTGTTGCTCCAAACGATCGCACCCACGGGTCAATAAAACAGCTGATGTGCAGAGGTGAATGACATTTAGAGAAAAACAATAACAATAATATTGCAAGGATTAAAAGAATTATTGGACTATTTGTTAATTTATTTATTTTAGGGAAAGAAAAACCGAAGCCGGAATGATTCGGATGTTTTATTCCCTCGAGGTGACGTATCCTAGTGTTCTAAGTGTTTAAATTCCATACGGCCTTCCATATAATGTCCTGCATCTAAATATTCCCGTTACATGTTCCTATGTACCTTTTGTCCTTTGGCAGTTATCCCTTTAATCCTTGAAGGATCCATGGAAAAAGAAGTTTCATCAAGGTTCCAAACTTGTGACGATGTAATATTTAGGTCGTTTATGCATTTTTCAAGTTTATCATAAAACGAATAAATAATAAATGGATCACTAGTGGCTAAACGTAGTGACTTTTCAAGTTGCTCCATTTTTTTCTGACTAAGACGATTTCTTCTGCAAAAATCTCTTAACCAGTCATCGCCTGGACGCCCATTTTTAAAAGCAGTGTTAACACGTTCACTGTCTTACGACCCATATATGGGTCGTAACTTCATTTACCTATAAGTCCTACGACCCCTATATGGGTCGTAAACGTATGTTTTGTTATAGCCTAAAATTAAATGGGACGTATCAGTAAATTATTGCTCTCTGTAAGGGGACTCTGAAGAAAAAAAAAAGCTACATTTTGGTATAAGAAAAAGTATATTACGTCAAAAAATAACGGAGATACGGGGTATCAAAAATGGGCATAAAAAATATTGAAAATTCTCTTATTATAAGCCTATACAGAGAAAACAAAACGAAAACATATTGAAATTTAATGATTTTCTGCAAAACATGGAATACAAAATGCTTGGTTGCATTGACGGCACAAAGTTGATACTTTCTTAGTTTTTCTACAAGCTTCTTTTGATGGAAGAGTTTCTCTCAACTTTGTGTAGCATCCGTGACATCGTTTCCTATATATTTTCGCATCATCACCTCTAAGTAGTTCCTCAAGCTTGTGAGCTCCTTCCTCATGCGTTTTTTGCTTTTTCACATTTTGATTTGTTTTGAGAAGGCTGTGAATTAGAGATTCTCTCATTTTCAACATTGATATTTGTTCTTTCGCTGGACGCACAGAATTGTACAAAATAAAAGTGTTGACAACAAGTGCCCCACAAATTATTTCAGTGGCCAATTTTTTGAACCATACCAATGACTTACGGAGGCAAGTGTAGTAACTGGATAGTTGATCAGAGATATCTACCCCCTGCTTTCCCTTATTATAATCAATTATCGCTAATGGTTTGATTTTATCTTCTCCGTTTCTTTTTTTCCCATAGACTTTCATTTGTTCATCATGACACGTGGAAAGTATATGGACATCACGTTGATCATGCCACTTGAAGAAAGTGATGAAGTTGTTTTGTTTGCCAACTATCTGCCCTTTTTTTAGTTTGCAGTTGACTACATCCTTGGGTAGACCTATTCTATTTTTCCTCACGGTGCCTAACAAATTGGTTTTCCTTTCGTAGAGGTATTTGGCAAGTTCAATGCTTGTATAATAATTATCTGTTATTACCAATCTGCCAGCATTTAACAAGGGCTCAACCAATTCAACAACTGTACTACCAGGAAGGTCTAGTCCTTGGCGTCTTTCATTTGTTCCAGAATATATTTTCAGATCCCAAGTATATCCAAGTGGAGAGCATACTTTAAAAATTTTAATACCATATCTGTGAGCTTTTGATGGATTATATTGCCGAAACTTTAGACGACCTCTGAAAGGAACCATAGTCTCGTCCACAACAACTGTATCATCAAGAGAATATACATTTTTTATGTTATTTCTGATAAGGTCTAACAAAAGTGAAATTTTTGACAAGCGACTTTCTGATGGTTTTGTTTTGTCTTCGAAATGCCAACATTTTAACAATAATGTAAAGCGGTTATACTTTATAGGAAGTCTGTGAAAAAGCTCATGGTGGTACAATGGGTCCATTTTCCAGTAACATTCTATGGTAGGAAAGTTTATAAGTCCCATAAGCAGCAGCATACCTAATACAAAACAAAAAACACACATATTCAATCATCAGTGCAAAAATCAAAGTTGTAATTACTTACCAAGAAAAGTTTTCATTTCTTCTTTGTCTGTATCGTTCCATCTAGAGATTCTTGCTGAGTGTACTAAACGTTTTTTGCGTTGAAGTTCCAAAGCATAGATATTAGTTTGTGCAACCATTAGCTCAATAATATCGTCAGTCATAAATAAACTAAAAATATCTAAGGGTTCCATATCTTGAGTGATTCGAATGTTTGCTCCTCCTACTGCACTAAATGTGAATCTTGAAAAAGGTAGAATGGTTGATGACCAGTAATCAGGATCACTCTCATTTATTTCGTCGTCTGAATATTCACTGTCTTCTTGTTCACTTTCATCTTGAAGATCACTATCATCGCCCATTTCTCCATTAGAACTTGAATCGTCATCTTCAGATTCGTAATTTGGATCTACCAGGCTGTCGTCTGAATCGAAATCACTGACAGAACTAACTTCGGATAAATTTTCCACGATATCTTCTAACTCTCTTTGGGTTAGTTTACGCTTTTGTCCGGACATAGTCGTATTTGGTAGGGAAACACGCTCAGAAGGTTATCTGGAAAGACTACTGAACAATATTGGCGGGATGAAATACATAACACGTGCTGATTGTGAGATGTTGCCACATAATGGAAATTTTATTTTACGACCCATATATGGATCGTAAGACGTAGAACGTACTTCAAAATTACCACAACGTCCTACGAACCACATATGGGGCATAGAAATTTAAATGGCGACGTGGAACGGTGAGCGGAAAAATAACATTAGGACAGTGAACGTGTTAAGGTTATTTTCTTGCACGTATGTTTGCACGGCATTTTTAACCTCTTGTTTAGTTAGTGCGAACTCCCACTGGACCATTGTTATTAGCTTTGAAGCTAAATCTTGTTCGACCTCCAAAGATAAGGATGTTTTTCTCCCTTGTTTTGTTGAATTCTTTTTATTCATGTAGCGACTTAGTTTCGACTTATCGATATGGAAGGCATCAGCTGCAGCTCTCACAGAAAAGCCCTCAGTTCTTACTAACTTTGCTGCTTTATCGAGATCTTCCTTCGTATACTTCTTCGGCTTGGGTATATATTTCCTTGGCATCTTAGTTTTGTAAATAAAATCTAAAAAATAATCAAAATGTTTGTCTCACATTTAGACCTGTGATGTCTCATTTTTACCTCCACGCGTGTCTCAAATTTTCCCCTCCACAAAACCAGTGCGCAGTCGGAAACTGATCAATTTGTACTGAAATGCAATTGCACACGTTGCAACGGTAATAGGATCAGAGCGCGAAACGACTTTAACCGAACCCCTCCGACCGACATACGAACCCTCACCACAAAAGTTCCAGAACCGGTTTCAAAAGAATTAAATCGCAAAAGACGCCGTAGATTTTGTAATTTTAATTTTGACGTTATTTGTTACCCAAAAATTAAATAAATTGTAGATATGATGTTTTTACAAGTGTTGCTATATATCTATAACAAGAAACCGATTGAAATTAAACAATTAGCAATTTTATTTCATCGTCTCATTTTTCACCCGAATATTGCCTGTCTTATTTTTACCCCACTTGGCCCTACCTAAATCCTCAGACCAGTAATTCCATTCACTCGGTAGTTGGTGATACGCAGAGAATATCAGAAAACCGAAAAAAAAAATTGAGTTCGTCTATTGAAATTGTAAATGCATGCTTATTTTTTTGATGTGCATATCTTACAGTTTACAATCATGTTATAAACATTTTGATCAAAAAATTGCTCAAAAATATTTACAGGACTTGCGTCTTGTAAGTTCGTCTTTATTATATCAAGATTTTGTTTTTGATTTCTTGTATTTTGTAATGGGTCACATAGATAATCCGGGTAAATTTTTTTCCAGTCTGTCATCACCTTTACTTTGGACATTTTTAGTTTTTTTGATGGTAATTGTTCGATTTTGGAAGTAGAAGGACCACTTTCTTCAAAAGTTGCCGGGATGCCTCTATTACGTAAAGTGGCTAAAGGTACGTCCCAATCATCGTCGTCATCTTCATCCTGTGTGATTTCTGTGAGATCATCTTCATTATCGATGATGTCGATTTCAGTACACCCTGGAATGTCTTTTACCACAGGCGCGCCGAGATCTTCATCATCAAACTCCTCCTCATCAGTCAATTCATCAACCTCTGGAGGAAGGGCAAGAATGTCCACTTCAATCTGCTCGGAAAGCAGATAATTCGCGGCTTCTTCCATTGTTCTAAATATATACTTGCTCATGATGCTGTATCACGAAATCTGCAATCAAAATTGCATATGAAAATCAATATTCACGGCTACGCCCAGTGTCATATTTATAGGACACCAATATTTGGAGGTTAGTATACAAAATGTAAATAAAAACTAAACAAAACTAATAGTTTGTAAATCAATGTTGGTCTAAAAGCTTGCTAAAAAAATAATATAATTTTACTTACTTGGTTTGGTTTGCACA